ATATATATATATATATTAAGCTTATATGAAGTACTGGTGAATAAAGTCCCTTTCCCTCCATACTCATCACTCTTACAGGCTTTCTGAGTATCTTGGAACATTGGAATGACAACGTGGCAGCCAAATCTCACATCCCCAGCCCTTTGGTCCCTCCCCAGGGTCCACCCATTGCAGACATCCTGTCATCCCAAGCAGAAGTTTCAGCAAACTCAGCAGGTTTGGGCTGCTGAGATGGCAAAAGGACCAAGTATCAAAAAAGGTCCAGTCTTAAGAACCTCGGGACTCAACCTGACCTTGTATCCATGTTCTCTCCCTTGCTATCACAGAGCTGAGTGTCCAGTGTGGCCTCAACCCTCAGATTCTGACTGGCTTTCTGTGGAGACTATCTATGTGTCTATGGCCTGTTGTACTTTTTGTTTTTTTGGTGGTACTGGGGATTGAACTCGGGCCCTGATGCTCACAAGGCAGGCAGCGGAACCACTGAGCCAAATCCCCCGCCCAAGGCCTGTTGTACTTTGAGGGAACAGACGCAGTGACACTTCCATGGCTCACTTCTGCATATTTTATAATCAACCCTGGGTTCAATGACCTGGTCTGTGACGGGTCCATTCACCTTTGAGATCTTTGGGGGACCTTTGTGACCTATAGGGAGAAGTAGGTTCTCAGATGATGCAGGGGTCTTCACCCTTGGGGGAGGCCTGCCCACCCTCTTCCTATTCCCATCAGGCTGCAGCATTTCTCACCCTGCACACTTGGCCCTCTCTCAGTCCACAGTTGTCCCAAGCACATACCTGCTAGGAGACAGGTCTGTGGCACTCACCTCTACTCTCTTAGTATGGGCAAGTGTCCACGTTCCCTGGCTCAGCAACAAGGGCCTCCGCAGCTGCACTTCTTCCTGCCAGATCTTCATTTGGCCTATGACAAACATCCTAGATAGTTCCTCTCTTTCACTGCCCCCACCCCTCCTCCATTCAGTCCCTCAGCAACTATACAGCAGCACCTACTCTGTTGCAGGTGCTCTTTTCAGCCTCCAGCAGAGCTGATATTCATCCAACAGGCACCAGAGAGTGGGCAACTGCTGTGTGCTCTGGTGGTGACTCAGAGCCAGTGCCAACACACTTCTTAACGCATTTTACCTGAGTGTGTGCCTCGCTAAGACAGGCACAGAAAAAGAGAAAGGCAAATCTTTCTCCATGGAAGTCTCTATAGAAGGGATGCTTCTCTTTCCCAAAAACAAGCTCACCTATGCCCAATGCTCCCTACCCTCACAGATCAGCGACAGCATGGGCTTCTCTTCTTGTGGTTTTTCTGAAGCAGGAGTACAGCACAAGCTGGTGTTTGTGTGTAGGATTTTGCTCATGCTCCTTGTGGGGCAGAGGCCGAGTGGGCACTCAGGATAAAGCAGACATGGCAACCAAGATCTTCCCCAGAAGGAGCTCCTCAGGAGCTTTGGGAGTATGAAGATAGGTGGATCCATTCACTGCTGTGACAAGAGACAGGGGAGGCCCGTTCTTGAGTTGCAAGTAGAGAGGAAAATGAGGCTTCCCAAGGAGAGGGGTTGGACCAATACTCAAGAAGCAGTGGGCTTAGCAGGCAGTTAGAGAAGCTCCTGAGGCTGAGTAAAATGAGACCTGATGATTGAGGCCATACTCTTAAGTGAAATAAATAGAACACGCATGTGTAAATACCAAATAGTTTCTCTGGTGAAAAACTAAAAGTATAAATAAGATCCAAATTGTATAATTGACAATGTGAAATAGGAAGAAAAGGTGTAGGGAAGTGGGAAGGGTAGGGGAAAGGAAATAAGGGACAAGAAAAAATATGAGAAAACAAAAAAATAGAAACAAAGTTTTTGTAAATAGGGAAGGGTGGAGGGGGTGAATGGAGGGCAGGGGTAAGGAGAATAAATGAGAACCAAGATCTGTCATGTAAAGGTACAAGATCCCGATGATGAATGTAACTGTACTGTATACCTAAAAAGTACCAATAAACTCAATGAGAAAAAAAAGAGAGAGAGAGACATGATTGCCCTGAGGTAGGAGGAAAGGCAGCCTGCATGGCTACTGATGGAATAGGAGAAGGAGTAGGTGAGGGCAGCAGGGCCCTGACCAAGCCAGACCAGTACCCATGTTAGATAGTGCAGACCCTATTTCAGGAGCAAAGGAGGCCATAGTTATCTTTTTCGCTGGGGGTCAATATAACAAGTGTTTGGAGTGCTTGTATCCTTGTGTGTGATTGTTTATGTTTACATCACTCTGGCTGAACATGGAGAGCGGAAATGAAGAGGCAGGAATGGCAGCAAAGCCCCTGCAAATACAGCAGTAGGGTAAGAGGGAAGCCCCTAGGTACAGGTGTACAAGGTGTTCACTGCAAGACCATTGGCCAAGGAGAGCTAATGAGAACTATGTGAAGTGCACTGCTCCTAAGACAGCGGGTCTGGCTTGGAACTGAGTCTGCCTCACAAAAAGGTACTTATTCTTTGTCTACGCAGAGACACTGGATGCCAACTAATTGCATCCGTGGTCTGAGTGGCATGAAGGGAAGACCTTGCTAAGTGTTCAAAAAGGAGCCATCTGGACCACTGAGGCCCAAGAGACAGAGGAACATTTAGACCGGAAGAAGGTGATACAGATAGTGTGACCTGGAGCAATTGGAGGTGCATTTGAGGGCAAAAGTGGAAGAAGTAAAATAGTTCAAATGGGGGTGAGCAAGAAGCAGGGGTCAGAAATGATGGCTAGGATTGTGGCAAGTGCTTCTAGAAGGACATGGGAGATATCAGACTTTGAAAGATGAAACGTCTATAGGTGCTGCCTGAAGCTTTCTCATGAAACACCAGAAGGTGGGGGCACAGCTGGAACCCAAAGCCTTTAAGTGAGGCAGCTGATATTCAGGAATCTTTGATATTAGATTAGAGATCAAAAAAATCATCTCTGGGAGGTAAGTCCTTGGGTATTTCTTACATTGCTCTCAGTACAAAACACTTGAATGTTGAGAGAAAGTTGAGACAAATTCAAAGGGGAGCAGAGGGCCCAGGGTCCAGGACAGTGTTCCCAATGGGTCTGTGTAACGTTAACCGGTCAGAAACCCACAAATGGGTGAGAACCGTGCGCACTGTCCCTGTCCTCTGTCTCCCCCAATACCCAGTGGTTTCCATGGCTTCACCAAAACCGCAGTTTATGTTCAAGCTTTCCATCTTTCCCAGTCTTCACCATGCCATCTACATGTCTGAGGCCTTCTCAACAGGAGCCTGGTTTTCCTCTGTCAGAACTGATCTGTTTCTTCATTCAGCCTGAGGGCTGAGTTCCTGCCATGTGCTAGGCCCTGTGCTTAGCATAAAGGCAGCACATGTGCAAGACATCATCCTCAGCAGGACAAAACATGTGGGGGCCTAGGACACTGAGTGTGGCAGAGATTCAAAACAAGGATCACTTTAGTATGAGGCTAAACTTGACATTTAGAATTTTTATGTCATAAGCATATAAAAGCCACTTATAACTAGTTTAAGAAATAGAGGTTATGGGATGTGTCCTAAAACTACCAAGTCCTGGAATGGAGACAGGGTGGTAAGAAGGTGGATTTGACCTCAATACTTTACTGCCACCTTTCTTCCATGATTGACCTAATTGGAGTAAGGTGTTCTATCTGAAACTGAACTGATAGATGTCTCTGTTCACCACAATCTGAAAGGTGAGGGCTATGCTCAACATGCCCAGTGGCAGCACATGTTAAAATGGTCAGTGGTAAGCTCATTTGCATTTTCTGATAACTAGATATCTGTCTACATTTCACAGTGGGGACCGACTTGGAGTTATATTAAAAGGAATCCTTTTCCAAGGATCCCAATACTCTAATGGAGATCAAAGGCCAGACTGACACAAGAAACCAGATATGCAAGAGATGGAGGACCCTTGGGAGCCAAAGAGTCCAAAACTCCAAATGGAAGGGAGGAATTATCTGAGCCCAAGTGTGCAAGCACCCCAAGTAGAGATGGAGGATTATCTGAAGTCCAAGGACACCTATGTACAAGTGGAAGAACACCATTATACAGGACCCCAGCACCCCAGTATTGAAGCCCTGTGAGATAAAAGCAACAAGTACTCACATAGCAATGGAGGACCACTGTTAGCTCAGGAGTATGGGTTAAGTAATGTGTAAGCACTGGCCACAATGGGGGTGCTCTGTAGTCTAGAGGCATTGTACCATGAGTGATGGAAACTGCATACACATGAATTTGCAAAGACGATGACTCCAGAGTGCAAATAGTCTGACTTCCCACTCTGCCTCTCTGATTGAGCTTATTATGGAACAGGAAGAAGGATGCAATGTTGGGCAATGGGTTCAGAATTAGGAGACTAGAGGAAAAAAAATTATATGACTTCTAAAATCTGAGTGAATTTCTCACTGATTTCTAAAATGAATGAGACAATTTATGTCAATTATTCCTCCTGGCTTCTAGAAGAAAATATATTTTCCAAGTTAACACAGGCCAAATTAAGCTTGTCCTCCATAAATTTATTTCAACTTCCAAGAGGACACAGCTGTACTGACAGGACCCAGATCTGATGGCCACAGTCACCTCTGTCCCTCTTTTCAGCACCAGCCACACATCCATATGGTGACCACTGGCATCCCTTTCTTAGGTCCTCTGTGTCCTGCCACATCATCATTCAGTTCAGACCTTAAACTGTGGCAGCAGAGATTACAGGGAGAAGCTGGGGTAGGCGCTAACCTGACACAAGAATTTCATTCTTTGTGATGGTAAAACAATGCACGGAGGAAGAATTTCTATTAATTAAGTGTAACGGGTAATAACACAGGACTTGCAATGGAGTTTGTATGCCATAGTAAATTATGTTTGAATTCCGAGAATGTTAAGGCAAAGGTAAGGTATTAAGGCAAGGGTTAAATGTTAAAGCAAGAGTAAGGTATTAAGGCAAAGGTAAGATGTTAAGGAGAAATGAGACCGATTATGTAAGATATTTTGAAGCAGAAATTCTTGGCCAAGAATTCCTTGGCTAAAGTCCAGGCAATTCATGGATCAGTGACCAGAATGGTACTAATCCTAGCTTGAATTGACAGTCATTGGACAGATGTCCTCGCAGAAGTAGAGAATTGCTGTAGGAATTTGGCCTGGGTTTTGTGTACAGGATGGCTCCAGCAGGCTCTTCTGTGACTATTTCTCTTGATTGTGCATCCATGAAATTCCTCATAGCTAACTGACTTTCCTTATTAACTTATTCACTTGGTTAAAGATTAACAAAAGCAGCCTTGATTTGTCAGCTTCATAATATTCATGACCCAGAATTTACTAAAGGTGCACAGGTTAGCAACATTAAGAACCTTCACAATGCTGTACAACTGGCTTGAGTGTTTATCCTTTACTGCATTCTGCCTAGTTCTGAGCCTTTGCATCCCAAGATGGGAGCTTTCCACCTAAACCCAAAACAGACCTTGGAAGTCAATTCTAAGATTGAGGGTGGGATTCTTAGAGCCTTGATCTGATGCAAACATGGCTGGAAGAACCTTGGTTTCCCAGGCTTCCCTGCTTCCTGAGGAGATGTAAATCCTTTCTGGCCTGATATCGGTTGATGAAGACATGGAGATGAAGACAGTAGCTAGGTGTGGGTGTGAGTGGCACCCTTAGCAAGTTTGGGAATTCCCAAGCAGACTAGATGATGTGCAAAGGTCCTGTACCTGAGATGAGGGGCAGCCTCACTCTCTAGATTCTCGTGGATGCTGAAGTTTATGACTGATGGTTTTAGGGAGCTGTAGGCCAGCATAGTTCTAGTGAGATTTGCTCCCCAGGTGAAGTTCTGGTTTGGTTGAGCCACATTTCTACATTTATTTTCTGTATCTTGAAGGTTTCTGTAATTCCAACAGTTTAAGAACCTTCAAACTAGATCATGTATCAAATACTCTCCTATGAAGAGTCTGAGGTCCCAGGACACTGTCAATCACAAAACAATGTGCTGACTCCCAGATGCCTGCGGAAAGCTGGCCTGGAACTGGGCATATGCTGTATGTTGTATCAAAGTGAGTAAGTTAAGGAATGTGATATAGCTTGGATACAAAAAATTTGTATGATTCAGGTCTGGCTTTGTGATAGTGAGTAGTAACTAATGAAGCCTAGGTGAGGAAACAGGGCAAGTGAATAACTCGGCATCTGGGTCTATTTTAGCTAGTGTTCACTTCACTTTCACATGAAGCAAGACTTAAAGAAAAACAAGTTCTTCCCAGCCTTGGGCAGTTTTCCTCACCATTGGATTATAACCCCCACCCCAGCTATAACTCCTTGTTCTAGTACAGATAAAATTGACAACTCTATCCGGTAAACAAAGTTATGACACTCTGTTCTCATAATTCATAAGGTTCTTTCTTCTTTCAAGACTAAGTTACAAAACTGACTTCCCTTGTCCTGTTTCATGTAAACTCACTTGCTGCAACATCAAAAAGACCAACCCCTTTGGCTGACTACATAAAATCTAGAGCTTCTCTGTTCTTCACTCTTATGACATTAGTCCATTGAGCCAAAGTTCACCTAAAACGTAATAAAGTCCTCCTGTTTCCCATTGGTCTCTTCAGTCTCCTGGATTCTGCAACATTTCTGGTGACCACAACAGAGCTTTAGATGATAGAGATGCTGTCTCAGGCCTGAGAGAGGGTCAAGCTACGGGAATCCTGAGACCTCTGGTGCCACTGTGTGCATCTTCAGCTCAGAAACAGAATCAGCTCTTCTGAAGTTCCAAGGCCACACCCCACCAGTGCGGTGGAACCTGTTGGGATTCAGGATGATTCTGAAATAACATCACAATCTATAGGACTGTGGTAAGGTTTTGGGGGCTCAAGGGAAAACCTGTCCTGTTAGGACAGAAGGGGAGGCCGATCACCTCCTGTGGTGTACTGAGTTATCTAATGTGGGATTGAGTCAGATGAAATCCACAACCCCAAGAAGAGAGAGAGAAGCCCGTAGTGAGAGTGACTCACAAAAGGGGTACGCTGAGTAATCAGACTCAAGAAGAATTGATTGAAACCCATACCCAGGTTGGAAAAAAAGGGAAGGAGGAAGTGCATGAGTGTATGTAAATAATAGAATACAAAGTTGGGAAAGTGCTGGAGAGTTCAGAGTAAGAAATGAGAGGGGTATTCCTGGCTTCAGGAGCACCAAGGCCAGTGCTTGCTCAGCATCATCACCAGCCTGGAGCTGCCTGCAGGCATCTGAAAGCCAGAACAGCCCCAGCCTAGAGCTGAATGGTCAAAGTTGAGGAACTGCTGCCACATTCTGATGGGCATAATGAGGTTTCATAGGAGGAATCAAATTATAAATTTTATTAATTGATAAATACATTTTTGCTTTCCAATTTGAATTGATGTTTCTCTTTAATTGGCATTACAAATTCTTGAATTGTAATTACAGGGATAACTTGCTCTTTGCTCTCTGTTGGCTTAATATAAAAACACTGACTCAAGGTTACTTAAAGTCTGATGGCAGTCAGTCAAATTTAAAATGTAACAACATGAGAGGGCCAGGGATGTAGCTCAGTGGCACTGCACATGCGTGGCAAGCACAAGGTCCTGAGTTCAATCCCTGGTACCTCAAGGAAAAAAAAGTAACAACTTGAGAAATAGAAAAATGTAGAGAAAAGGACACTTTAAAACCCAAGCTGCTGCAGCCAACTTTGTTATAGAAGTTTTATTTTAAGTGAGATGGAGAAAAAATATTGAAAGGCTATACATATAAGAGATATACTTTACATATGAGAGGATTTTATGTGATAAAAATTTTATCCTGTTAAAAAGAGAGATAAGGACAAGACTGGAACACTTACATATGTCAAGGGAAAGCATGTGGAAATAGTTTGTCAAAGAAAATACATATATTTGCTTGTTGATTTGGTGAAAGACCATGCTAGTCCTTTTAAAAGATTCTTGTTGCTCAAAAGATGCAAAAAATATGTATGGCTGTTTATTAGTTTAATGGAAGTCAAGTTGTTCCTTGAGAGAATGATTTACCTCACAACAGAGTACTTATTGGGAAGAGAGGTGACAAAATCTATGGAGTAAAGCAGACCCCCTTCCAGAGGTTGAAAAGTCTTTGTGAAATAGGTTGGCCCTCCTTTGATTTTGGGTGGACAGTCAAGGGGACAATTAAATGTATACATAGAGTGGTAACCATGGATGGAAGATGGCCGAGACAACTGATTAATTTTCCACATTGATTCATGATTAATAATAGTCCAGACTCGACTGGCCTAACTATAGTCCTGATTGGAAATATGTAAGACACTCATAGCCTGTGTCATGCCCGAAGCAGAAGAGAGAGGGGAATTAGCCTTATTGGGAGGCTCAACAATAAAAAAGATAAAGCAGAGCAATAAATATGGCAAAGATCTCAAAAATGCTCCAGAGAGTGGATGAAAGTCCCAGCCAGTTTTACTTTGTGAAGCATTCCAGCTCTATATCCCATTTTATCCCTGAGACTGCTGAAAATCAATACATTTATGTTGCCTTTCTAGGCAAAGCTCAGGGAGACATCAGGTACAAACTATAGCAGTTAGACAGTTTTACTAGTATAAATGCTCTCAGGGTGGCTACCAAGGTGTGTATTAACTGAGACTGGAAGGCAAAATGAGAGGCTAACCAGAGGCTCAAACAGAAAGTAGATCTGTTGGCAACAGTGCTCACTTGGAAAAGACAGATCACTAAGGCACAAACATGAGCAAAACAGGCCCCAAATCAAGCCAGGATCTGCAGTTCGACCAGAGCTGATTGGGATCAATGTGTGATGTAAAAAGTATGGGCACTGAAGAAATAAATGTCCAGAAAATGATGACAGAGATGATTTAAAAATTTCAAAACTGAGAGGCTGCCTGCCAAAGGCTACCATCCCCCAGGAAAGAACCAGATGCTGGTCTCATTAGACTGACAAGAACTACATGTTAGGAGGATTAGGCCAAACCTGGTTCCATCTCCTCAAGTCCCCAGGAGCTCATGATAAACATAGGGGGGCCAATTGATGGACAGTGGAGCTGAGCACTTGGTGATGACACAACCTATTGAACCATTATCAAAGACAAGTGTGACTATTGTAAGAGCCATTGGGGCTTCAGAAAACAGACCATTTTGCCAGGCTAAAAGATATGTCACAGGAGAGCAAGAAGTTCAATATGAGTTCCTGTATCTGTCAAACTGCCTAGTTCTCTTGTTAGGGAGAGACATACTCCAAAATCTAGAGGCTCAAATTACTTTTGGGCCACAGGGAGATATGACTTTATGCCTGGCTCAACCAAGAACTATGGTGTTAACCCTTACTGTCCCACAGGCAAAAGAATGGACACTGTATTCAGATAAGCCACAAAATCCAGGGATAAATGAGCTACATAGACTGGCACATGAGATTCTTCAGGTGTGAGCCAAAATCAACCCACCTAGGCTAACTGTAAATTAAACACCAGTGACAATAAATCTAAAATTGGGAGCAACTCCAGTTGAAGTTCACCACCAATACCCTTTCCCTGGGAAGCCATACAAGGCATTCAAGGACATTTAAAGTGGCTCTTAAAACATAAAATCCTGGCAGGGCGTGGTGGCTCATGCCTATAATCCCAGCACTTAGGAGGCTGAGGCAGGAGGATTGCTAAGAGTTTGAGACAAGCCTGGACTACATAGTGAGTTCCAGGTCAGTCTCAACTACATAGTGAGACCCTGTCTCAAAAAAACAAAAACAAAAAAAGAAAAACCCATAAAATCCTGGCTAGATGCCAGTCAGCCTAGAAAACCCACCCCTGCCAGTATATAAGCTAGGAACAAAATAATACAGTCCAATACAAGACCTATGTGCTGTAAGTCAAGCCAGCAAGATAATTCACCCACCAATGCCAATCCATACACACCAATGGGACTTATTCCAACCAGTGCTGCCCAGCTTACTTGCTTAGATTTAAAGGATACCTTTTTCTGTTTGTGTCTTGTTATAAGTCAGCCACCCCATCTTTACATTTTAATGGGACACAGACAAAAATGAGCTAACCTGGACTAGGCTTCCTCAAGGACTCAAAATTTCTCCTACAATCTTTGGAAAGGCGCAAACTACATACCTCAAAGCTTTCATTACACCAGGAGACAACTGCACTCTGCTGCAATATATAGATGATCTCCTCTGGCAGGCCCAACCCAAAGGAACCGTTATCAGGGAACCATATTCATACAAAGTATCTGCCCCCAAAAGGCACAAGTTTGCCAACAAGAGGTCAAATATTTAGGCTTCATAGAGACTCAGGGGAAATGACAACTAGGCACAGAGTAAAAACAGTCTGCCTGTGCCTTTCCAACCCTAGCCTCCTAGCACAAAATAAGAGTTTCTGGGGACAACAAGATTCTGCCATATCTGAATTCAGAGTTTCTCACTCATGGCTAAGCCACTATATAAAGTCACAAAAGGGAAAAGCAAAGAGTCCCCCCTTTAAAAAGCTGACCAAGAGAGAACCTTTAAACAGATCAAAGAAGCTTTGACTCGGGCCCCAGCCTTGAGACTATCACACATAACCAAGCCTCTCTTCCTATATGTCTGTGAACAAGAGGGAATGGAGTCTTAACTCAGGCCTTGGGATCCTGGCGTCACCTAGTGACATACCTGTCTAAACAAATAGACTCTGTGGCCCTAGGATGGCCTCCATGCTTCAGGGCACTTACTGCTACTGCTCTGATGCTGCAGGAAGCTAACAGGCTGAATTTAAAACAGCAATTGACTATTCAGATTCGATATTCAGTCATAACCTTGATGGACCATAGAGGGCACCATTGGTCATCAAACCCAAGGATGACTCACTATCAAGCACTGCTATGTAAAAATCCTCAAATAACCCTGGAGACAATAAACACTATTACTCCAGCTACCTTGTTCACAGTCAAACCAGGAGCCTCCCATCATGACTATGTAGGAATCGTAGACAAAGTATTCTCCAGGGAGATCTCACAGGTTGCCCTCTTGGAGACTCAGATGTTGCTGAAAGGGGTCCAGCAGACAAGATATGCAGTGACAATATTAGACTCTGTAATAGAGGCCTTGCCTCTGCCCACCAGAACCTTAGGCCAGGAAGCTAATAGCCTTGACAAGGGCCTTTTTACTAACAAAAGATGAGAAAGCTAACATTTATGCTGATTCCAAATATGCCTTTACAACATTACATGCACATGAGGCAATATATTTTTTAAAAAGACTCAACTGCTAGAGAAAAAAATGAAGTTAAAAAAAAGATTTTTAAGGGGCTGGGGATTTAGCTCAGCGGTTCAGTGGCCTGCCTTGCGCGCATAAAAAAAAAAAAAAAAAAAAAAAAAAAAAAGAATAAAAAAAGATTTTTACAGGTACTAGATATAATATGGGCCCCAGAAGAAGTAGCTGTTATGTACTGCAGGGAGTACTAATGAACTAAAACATTAAAAACCAGAAAGAGCCAAAAAAAGAAACAAAATGGGTTCTATGGCAGCCCCCCAACTCAAAAGAGGTGCCCTAGCCATGCCCCTCATCTCAGAGTTGCCTCTCCCAGAGACTCCAAGATACTCTTCAGATAAAAGAGCCTAATTTTCTTGAAAAGCTAAAAGGTGTATCCAGGGGCGGGGGATAATAAAAGTTTGCTGATGATAGGCTAACCACCCCCAAAGTGTTGGGCCTCAGGTTCATAAGACAATCCCATCAGAGATCTCACATGGGAAAGGCAACACTAGAGATGTTACTGGGTCAACATTTCTATGTGCCACATCTCACTACCATTGCTTAAGCTGTTTGTAAGCAATGCCTAACCTGTGCCCAAACCAACGCAAGGCCAGCAACCACCCAGCCCCTGGGTATCCAGGAAACCAGGAGCTACCTCATGTGAAAATTTTATTATGGACTTTACTGAATTGCCTCAAGGTAGTGGCTATGTGTTGGTGCTTGTCTGTCTGCACCTTCTCAGGATGAGTTGAGGCCTTCCTCACCTGAACAAAAAAGGCACAAGAGGTGACCAAGGTGCTGTCAAAAGATATCATCCCAAGATTTAAACTACCCCCAGTCTTACAGTCAGACAGTAGATCAACATTCATAGTGGAGATACTCCAGTAGCTCACACAGATGTTAAAGATAAAATAAAAGCTTCACAGAGCTTACCAGTCACAGAGCTCAAAAAAGATGAAACGTAGACTTGACACTTGAACAGCTGCTCAAAAAATATTGCAAAAAACCAAAACAAAACACGAGATAGGATCAAGTCTTGCCCATGGTCCTCCTCTGAATCTGGTACACTCCTACCAAACAAACTGGGTATTCCCCTTATAAAATTTTATTTGACCATGTGCCTCCAATCATAAGTCAAATTATAGGTGATTTTTTTAAACTAGGACAATTGAACTAAAAAACAGATGCAGGCTTTAATAATAGCCATACAAGATATCCATGGCTAAATATAAGAGAAAAGTGTCCATAAGCCTGGCAGACCCAATATACTCCTTCAAACTCCATGACTTTAAGTCAAAAAATGAAATCAAACAACTCTGGGCCCCATATGGGATGGGCTTCATACTTAATCCTGCCCAACCCCACTGCTGTTAAAATTACAGGAACTATGTCTTAAATCTACCACAGTTGGCTAATGCCAACAGCCCAAGACACGTGTACCGGCCAGCAAGATCCAGATCACCCAAACTAGCTGATCTTGTGACAAGATTAGGCTGCCACCAGACATGACAGCCCTGTGCTAGTCAACCTGGAAGCTAAATTTATGCATGGCTAAAGCCTGAAAAAATGGCATTCTTGCTCTGGTCACTCCAGAAGCTGACCAGTTTATACACAGATAAAGCTTGAGGATCAAAATAGAGTCACAACAACAACATAAGTTTCTTATCCTTTTTGTTTTAATTCTTTGCCTCTTACCCCTACTTGTCAAAAACATTCAGTTGGGCATGGAGGCTCTGATAGACAGACACACCACAACTCATCTGATGGTCTTCACCAAGTACCAACCTCTGCTCAGTAGGATGTACTAAACACCCCCTTGTAACAAAAAAATAGATAATAATGATGACAATAAAGACGATGCTCTCTACTAAAACTTGTTATAGACAGCATCAAAGTGGGAAATGAAGCAGGACCTAAAGAAAAACAAGTTCTTCCCAGCCTTGGTCAGTTCTCCCTACCATTGGATCATACCCACCCCAGCTGTAACTCTTTGTTCTAGTATAGGTAAAATTGTCATCTTTATCCCTTAAACAAAGTTTATGACACTCTGTTTTCACATGATCCATAAGTATCTTTCTTCTTTCAAGATTAAGACAAAACTGACTGCCCTTGTCTTGTTTCATGTAAACTCTCTTGCTACATCATCAAAAAGACCAACCCCTTCAGCTAAATATATAAAAAGTAGAGCTTCTCCTTTGTTCTTCGCTCTTCCTTTGGACATTAGTCTGTTGAGTCAATGTTCACCTAAAGCCTAATAAGGACCTCCTGTTCCCGTTAGTCTGTCCTGTCTCTTGGATTCTGCAAAAACATGGAGTTAAGATTTTCTGCAAAGGAACATGAAGATTTATACCAAATACTAAGCAGGTTCATTGTTTTCAATTTTAAGAAAAAGAGAAAATTGCAGGGTTGAACATTTTGCTCAGTGATAGAGCACTTACACAACATGTTGTAAGGAAAGTTAAAACTTTAAGTTGGAAAGGCTTGGGTTAAGGCTTTCGGCTCTCTAAGGCGCATCATCACTAGTTCACCTCTTCTTTCCCTGGATACCTGGCCAGTTCCCTGGAAAAAAGCAGGAAGGACTTTGTTAAAAAGACCAGATGTTCTTAACATCAAGATAAGGAATGTGATGCATTCCGCCCCTCCCGGACCCCTGGCCAAGGCCCGGTTGGGACGTGACTGCAAGCACATTCACCTTTTTCGCGCCAAAAGTACAGGTAGTTTTACTACCTATGTCTAGAGAGCTATATAAACAGCCCACCTAGCCCAGGCTGCTGCTGCTGTCTTACGCCCGGGATTGAGACTTGTAGCCGAAGGCACTGCTGAAGAGACCCGTGCTGTGTTGCGAGTGATGAACCTAATTCCTCCAACATTCCGGTGTTGTTGCCAGAGAGCCTAAGGGTAATTTCCCGGATAGAGTCCCTCTTGCTGTTAGAGCTCTCTCTTTCTTTGTCCTCTCCATTCTTACTTTTGTTTTCTGTATGCGCATATCCTTCAATAAACTTTCCCTTTTGTACTTATTTAAGGCTGGTGGACATTCTTTTAGCGGATCGAGTCAAATTAATTAGGAGACCGTGCACGGCAAAGGGCAATAAATAAAATTTGTCCTTACACATGTGAAAAAAGCACATGGTCCCCAGGGAAAAAAAGAAGGAAGCATGGATGACAAGGAGGAAGAGGGAAAGCAGAAGAAAGAGAAGAAGAAAGAGGAGAGGTGAAGGAGGAAGAAAAGAAGGAAGAAAGCAAGAGAAAGAATAAAGGAAGAAAGGGAGGGAGGCAAGGAGGGAGGAAAAAAGGAAGGAGGTAAGAAAGGAAGGAAGGAAGGAAAGAAGGAAGGAAGGAAGGAAAATCTCTCTCCACAGTCATGCTTCATGGTCTGATACAGAAATACCAGAGCACTGCTGTAGAAGCAGAGTAGGGGTATAGAAAAATGACAACCAAAATGCTGAACTCTCCTTCTTAAAAAAAATTAGAAGACATGTCCTCTCTCCCTTATTTAGAAAACTTGTCACTATAAATGCTCTTTCTGCCTCTTTGAGATATACACAGATCTCAGTAGCTAATAAGCCACTTGCCAGCTTTATACTTGACTCTCTTTTAAAGGACCTAAAAAGCTTCATCAAGATGGAACCATCCAGGGAAGTGGTGCCCTGCCTCCCAGTTGCTAGAGGACAGAAGAGCCTAATTTAGGTTCTAAATGGCGAAATTTTCCTCTGTCATGGATCTTAAGAGTCCACTTTCCTCTTGCTCAAGGCCACTTGGCAAACAGATGGGTGGGGGCCCTGCCTGGATGAATCCAGACGAACACTGTATGACTCATGGTCTGGCAACTCCTCCAGTTGAGGACAGATCGTTGTCGGGAGAGGGTGAAGTCAGCATAAGCCCTGGAGGTTTTAAGGTTTGTTTCTGTCTTTGAAACTTCATAGTGGCTGCTTCAGGTTTAATACTTCAGTGATGAATGGGTTTTCTCCTTCTCCTACTCCTGAAAAGAGGTTTTCTTGTTGCAAAGAGATTTCATTTTTTATTCTTCTATTTCTCCTAGGCCAGAGGACTTTCTCTGGGGCTTTCCCAGCAGGGAAGAAAATTAGAACAAGCACTAATGCATTCTGATCCTTTCTGGCATCTAATTCAACCATAGAAGAAGTTCTCAGAGGAATCCTGGAACCCTGTAACACCCAGAAAGGTAAATTTAGAGCGCTTTCTGTTACCCATTTGCTGGGGCCATCCTACACCCATCTGCACCACAGGTGACCTTAGCAGACTACCCTAGTAGTGGTGCTTCCCAGAATGGTTTGGGGTTGCAAGTAAAGAGGCTTCTAGACATTACCACCAGAGGGTGATGTTACATTAAAGACAAACTGTGGGCCTGTCATCTTCAGAGGGTGCCTACTATGAGTAAAAATGAGAGTTGGAAGAAAATGGCCTTCCCCTGGGTACCAAGTGGGGATAGGATGTGATGGGATTTTTGGGTCTCCAGAAGTTATGGCCTTGGGCTGGAGGCCACAGATCCTACTTCAAATAACTGAAACTGACACCTTAGGGTCATGTTTCCAACTTCTTCACATTTACAGAATCTTCGACCACTGACCCCTGGCTCATGAACAAAATATAGCACCTGCCAGGCAGAGGACCAACACCAGGGTCTAGGCTCTGCTGTGATATGCCACAAGAGGGTGGCCTGGGGAGCAGGGGGCAGGATGTTCCTGATCAATCCACCTTGGGGGTTCCCAAGTTTGTCCTTCCTCTTTCCACATTGGCCTCTACAAGCACAAAGGACATGATTTTGCCAAGTTCTGCTCTATGGGACCCCTGCAATTGGAGCCATCTGTGGACTCCTGGACAGGAGCTGTCCTGGGCTTGGACTCCTAGGCCTGGCTGTGCTACACTTAGGCCCCAGACATTGTCATAAACCCTTGACTTCCTTGCCCAGGTAAAACCCACCCCACCCCCACTCCTGCTCCTCTGCTCATGTTACACAGCATCTCAGCTTCTTCTTGCCTCAGTGTCCATGCAGAGGGCAGGGGACGAGTACCCCGTTTGGGGCTAGTTGTCCTCCTTCAGCCACTCTGGGCTGCAGAGCTCTCACTGCAGCTTCAAGTTGGGTCAAGGCTTCTTGGTGTACACAGGAGTGATCCACTGTGGAGAGACCAGACTCCCCCCAAAGATGCTTATCCCAGGGCTCATCTTTGCCCTGGACTGGACCACCTGGTCAGGCATCTTTAGACCAATATCCTAAGCCAGTCCCACCTGCTTGTGACTATTCCCCAGGATGACTCCCAGGCTGCCCTCTCATTGGGGCTGGTTTTCTTACCACAACCCTTGTGCTAGACATTCTTCTTAGCCAGTCCCACTCACACTACTCCATTAAGAGTGCAAGTCATCTCTAGCCCAGCTCCTCTTCCCCTCATCAGGCAACATGTTTGCTCATTGCCTTCTTTAATCAGACAGATGACATAACCACAACTTCTTCTTCCCCAATAGGGAGTTCTGTACCTGAAGAGCACATATAGTGCCCATTACCTGCTCATAAGACTCAGCCACCCCAAAATAGAAACCATGTGCACTCAGGTAGGATTTAGTGATATCAACCAGAGAGGTGTGCAAACATGTGACCACATACATCTTCCAGGGTATCTGGCCAGAAGCAAGCTAGACCTGCCTGCACACTTTCCTTACACTCTGGAGAAGAGAAGGGAAGCCATGTGAGTGATATCACACAGCTCCCAGGCTCTCTTGGACCATGGAGACCCTGCTGAAGGGTGTGCCTTTCTGCTATCACACTAGAGGAAGTGGGAAACTACCGCTGGGAGAAAGTTTAGGATCTAAAATACTGAATCCTCCTCTTTCTAGCTCTATTATCTTGGTCATGCCATTCAGCAATTCTCAGAATATATCTTCATTTGCAGAACTTTCTAGGTTGTCTGAGGATTTAATAGAATAAATTAAATGAAACACTAACTTATACAATCCCCTATCACTCTCCTTACCCTATTACAGGCTCTCTGAGCTTCTTGATACCTTTGGGTGGCACTGGTGACAGCCAGACCTCTAGTCCCCAAATCCTTTGGTTTCTCTTCAGGATCTATTCATTGTAGAAATCCTGTGTCCATCAGCAGAGGATCAGTAAAACCTCCTTCCCCCAGTTTTAAGTTAATGAGATGGCAGAATGGTCATCATCATAAATGACCTGAACTTGAGATGCCCAGGAAGGTTCAGGACTGCAGACCAACACTGACAGCCACAACCTTGTACCCAGGTACCCATGTTATTTTACCTGCTCTTCCACACTGCTAAGAGCATCCAGGGCAGCTTCAGCCTATAACCTCTGACTGGCACCCAGGAGAGACTCTCTAGGGCCTACTGTGGAAAGAGCTGGTGCCATCACATTGGCTCTCTTGTGAGCATTTGATAATCATAAAGCTCAAGGACAGTGAGTAGAGTTGTGACGAAACAGATCGATTCCATTCATCTTTGTAATTCCTGCAGAATTAACCTGCAAGGCAAAAGGAGAGTGTACACTGGTCTATCTGCCCTTGCTCTTATGAAAGGCCACCACCCCTCCTCCTGTGCACTTCAGGCCACAGCATCTCTCACCTAGCACACTGCCCCCACCTCCACACTTGGGATTGCATCTGGGGCCCTGCAAACACCAAGCGAGCGCTGTTAAAGCTGATTTACATTCCCTAGACCTTTCTCATTTTTATTTGCAAGAGGGTCTCACTACGTTGTCCATGAACTTGTTTTTTTTGTTTTGTTTTGTTTTGTTTTGGGTTTTTTGGTACCGGAGTTTGAACTTGGGTCCTTGTGCTTGCAAGGCAGGCCACTGAACCACTGAACTAAATCCCCAGGCCCTGCCTTTGAACTTGTGATCCTCCTGCCTCAGCCTGTTCAGCATATTCAGCCCTCTCTGAGGCCCACCCTGGTCCCCAGGCCATACATGCTAGAAGCCTTGGGGCTTGTCTCTAACAGTGGGGCTCTCTAATCATGGACCAGAGTCCACATTTCATGGCTCAGCAACACGTTTCCTCACTATGCTTTCCCAGCTGAAGCTTCATCTGGTCCCAAAAAGATGGATCCTAGGTGATTCCCCTTACTGACACCACTCTCTTCTCTGCTCAGTTGCTCAGCAAGCATATGAATACACTTGCTGTGCTGAAGGTGTCCTTTACAGCCCCTGGAAATGCTGACATAATGAATGGGCAGATGCCATGGGCCCTGGATGGTCCAGAGCTGGTGCCATCACACTTCTTACACATTTTACCTGAGCATGTACCTCACTAAGACCAGCAAAGAAAAGGGCAAATCCCTGTTCACAGAAGTCTCCTCTATGGAAGAGATGCTTCCCTTAAAAAATGAACTCACTTCTACCCATGTGCCCAACACCAGTGAGGATGGTGGCTTTCTCCTCTTATAGCTCCCTGAAGTAGGGCAGCAGAAGCCAATGACTGTGTATAGGATTTTGACCATATTTATTGTAGGCTAGGGGCCAAGTGGGAACTTATGACAGTGACCTGGTAACTTGGTAACCACAGGAGTAGCTCTCTGGAAGTTCTGAGTATGTGAAAGTGGGCAGATATGTCCTGAGCCATGACAAAGACTGGGAGGCAGACGTGTAGTCTGCAGGGAGAGAGGATAATGAGGTTTCCTCTGGAGGTTACTTAGGCCTAACCAAGGAGAAAAGACTGCTCTCATCAGGGAGAGAGGGTAGCCTCTCCAGCTGTGGGAACTAGAGCAGGGCCATGCTGAGGCACACACACACACACACAAAGCACAACTTTTGTGGAAATACAGATGACCTGGTCGTATGGAAGGGGTGAAGAAAGGTAGCTGGTGTGTGTATCACAGTATCTAGATTGGGTAGTGTGGACTTTATGCAAGGAGTGAAGGAGGCTATATACAAACATTTAGCTGGAAACAGTGTGTGTGTGTGTGTGTGTGTGTGTGTGTGTGTGTGTGTGTGTTTTGTATCATCTCTTGGTTTGTAGAGAATAGATCAGGGGAGCCAGGAATGATATCAGATTCTCCAAGAAGCAAGTGCAGCATCTGAGTTAGAGAAAGGCCCCCCAGTACAGGTTGTGCAGCTTGCTTAGCAAAGACCTGGCCAACGAGGGCAGATGTGAACTAATTCTGCCTATTGCAGTTCCCAAGACACAAGACTTAACCAGAGCTGAGCTTGGCCAAGGGAAAGAACTTATTTCTATGTTTTCAAAGGCACTCTTTCTCCAACACCCTGCATCTGTAGTCTGCACAGCATGAAAGGGGAGCACGGGCCAGTGTTCACAGAGGAGTCACTACTGTGTTAGCAGAGGTCCAAGAATGAAAGTGGTGACTCGGACCTAGGGAGCCAATCAAGGCCTTGCGACCTGGGTCACCTGCAGGTGTATCTGGGGGCAGAAGTGGCAGGAATTAGCATTATTCAAATAGGAATGAGCAGGAGAAATGAGCCAGAAATGATAGCAGGATTGTGGTAAGAATGTCTAGAAGACCATGAAGATGGGGGTGGGGCAGATGTAGAAGCTAAAGACTTGCCTGTAGGTGCTGCCTTCAGGGTCCCGAGGGGACAGCAGAAAGTGAGGCTGCAGCTGGACCCAGGGTCCTTAACGGAGGCTGATGAGATTTGGGATCTTTGACATCATATAAGAACTCAAGGTTAATATTTAACATCAATTCTGGGAGGTAAATCTAAAAATATTTCTTACATTCCACTTTGTATATTTTAATATTGTCTGTAAAGCCTGGAATATTAAGCAAATTTGAACTAGGTAAAAGAATAAGTGAGCAGAGGGCTCAGGGTACAGGACAGCGCACCTAATGAGTCTGTATAACATTAACTGCTCAGAAACCTATGTCACACTGAAGGGTGAGAGCCTTGTGCACTGTCCTCTGTCTTCCCCTATGCCCAGTAGTTTCCATGGCTTTATCAAAAGCTCAGATTACATTCAAGGTCTTCAGCCTCCCCAGGCTTCAGTGTGTCATCTTCATTTCTGAGACCTTTGGACAGCAGCTGAATTTTCTCTGTCAGAACTGATTCACTTCCTCATTGGGCATGTAGTAGCTGAGTCCCTTCCATGTGCCAGGCTCTGTGCTTGGCAACAGATAGGGCAGACATGGCTGGACAACAAACCTGGTAGAGCTCAGGACACAGAACATGGTGGAGACATCTAAATCCATACTCACTTTAGTCAGAGGCTGAATATGATAGTTAAGACTTTTTTGTTTTGAGTGTAGAAAAGCCATGTATGAATGGCTTATGAAATAGAGGTGATGGCCAGGTGCAGTGGTGCACACCTGTAATAAGTATGGATTTGGAAGTCTTACAAAAACAAGTATTATCTGTATTGAGAAACTAAAAAATTTTTTATTATTTTGATACCAGGGATTGAACTTGGGACCTTGCACTTGTGAGGCAGAGGTGGCACCACTGAGCTAAATCCCCGGCCCCAAGAAACTCAAAATTTTGATGAATAAATTCAAGATTGGGATAAATTTGCTAATACACTTGATCAAATTAATCCATGGAATTATCTCATGGCCCACTTTGGATTTTTTATTGGATTAGCTGTACTAATATGTATGTCTTTTGTTTTTTGCTTCTCATCTGTCACAGAGGAAATAAAACCCGACAATATCTAGATGCTTTTCAATCTCAGTCACACTGATTCAACTTCTGCAATTACAAAAACAAAAAGGGGGAACTGCTGGGGATCAAGATATGTGAGGAATTACTGGGGGCAAGATTGTGTGACTATGCTCCACAATGTGGAGGCTGATGTGATCTGCCTTGGGAAACAGAAAAACATACAGAAAGCTGTACACTTTTGGGGGAATGCTTGTACTTACACTACTCCCATGGCAAGATAGCATCTGCTGAGGACAATATAAAGAATGTTAGTTCCTTATTAACTTGGGCAGGCATCCAGGTACAGGGAGGAACCCATTCCCTTTCATACACTCCCCTTGTAAAAGTTTAATCTGTTCCCTATTTTTCAAAGTATCTTTTCAACTGTTATTGTTTAATGAATGATGCACAGCCCCTTACCCCATGCTTCTTGCTGGCCAATAAAAGAGGACCAACCATGGAGACTGTCAAGTATGTCTACTAGAGGCAGACTTCTCCTGGTCCCCTTGCATCTTGAAATATTGTCTCTGTCTCTCTTTAATTGCCATCATTCCTCCCTCACAGGTATCCAAGTGTCTGAACAGTCCCTGGCACTAGACTTCTGACTTCAGCTTCTGCTTTGGCTGTTCTCCAATTATTTTGAATCCTGCCTACGCTGAACTGCTGCCATAATAGCTCTAAACCAAGTGGTTCTCACATTAAGCTAGCATAGGACATTTGTACAAATATTGTCAGACCCAAAGAACTGCCCAGAAGAACCCAGCTAAAACTCTGCCCCACAGAAGTTGCTGGCCCACAGATTCACAAACTAAATATATGTGTTGATTTCTTTGTGTGTGTGTGTCTTCATGCAACATTTTTTACACAATATCAAATATACATTTTGATCCTTATTTACACTTTTAGTTTTTCATACCAGAAAAACTATTCAGTATTTACACGTGTCTTATTAATTTCAGTTAAGAGTGTGGCCTCAATGTGCATCTACTTAGCTATAAATATGTCTAGTTTCTCATTCTTTTATGACTGAGTAGTACTTTATTTTATATTTTAAAAAATCCTCTTTATCCAGCCTGTTGCTGTGCAATTGGGCTGTTTCTGAGTTTTAGCTATTACTATTTAGTTTTAGCTATTCCTCAGGCAAAGATCTACTATCTAAAATATAAAAAAACTCAAATAAATCATCCCCCCAAATATAAAGACCCATTTCAAAAATGGGCATCTGAAATGAACAGACATTTCTCAGACAAAGAAGTAAAAGCATCAAAGAAACATACGAAAAAATGTTCAACATCACCGGTTATTTGAGAGATGCAGATGAAAACAACACTGAGATTCCACCTCACTCCAGGAAGAATGGCTGCTATCAAGAAATCAACCAATAACAAATGTTGGTGGGGCTGTGGGGAGAAAAGAACCCTTCTTCTTTGTTGGTGGGCGTGCAGACTGGTGCAACCACTGTGGAAATCAATATGAATATGACTCAAACAACTAGGATTAGAAGTCCCATTTGACCCAGCTATTCCTCTGCTGGGTATCTTCCCAAAAGAATTAAAAGAATCATGCCACAGTGATACATGCTCACCCATGTTTATAGCAGAGTAGAACAAAGGTGAAACATGTCCCAACTGTGGCCAGAGACACATCTGTTGGAAATGAGGCCTCAACATAAAGACAAAATTACCAGGCCTGCAAACTTACTCAAAAGATAAACACCAGGCTAATAAAATCTGGATAGACATAAGTCACCCTGTGGGTGTCCAAGACCTCTGGACCCATCCTTTCCTAGGAAAGTCTTTGTTCCTCCCATACACACCTACTATGTGACTTGTTTTGATGTAGGGGGAAGAGATGTAACTCCCAAACCTGCTAGATATTTGAAACATGAATTTGTGTTCTCTAAAATTGAAGAATGAATTCTAGGAACAAAAGAGGTTAAGAGTAGGGAAAATTTATTGAGGGAAAGAAAGCTTCGGTCTAAGAGAGACAGAGAGGGACCAGAAAGTGGGTTGCCTCTTCATGCAACATTATTGTGATAGATAAATGGAAAAGAGGCAATCTATAACTGAATGGAGCAGAGCCTCCAATGACCTTACTTCATAATTAAACATATTACTCAGATGTACATGAGCAACAAGATTTATTTTTTACCCCACCAATGTTAGTGTTTGCTTGTTGCTACTGTAGAGTCAATTAGGTCTTGACTGATTTTCAAGGAGATAGATCACAGGCCCTCCCACTGAGCACAAGGAAGATGATGTGTTAGATGAATCACAGGAATATACAGCACTCTCCAGATCATGTTCGGCCTGTCTTCTGGAAGCCCATGCTCTGGTAGAGGCCCAGGACACTATGATGCAAAATGGTAGTCTCAATGACAACTTCACTGTAGCGTTGGTCCTAGGCAAGATGCAGGAGAGTCCCCAGCAGGGCCTTTGTTATCCCCATCCCTCAGTGCCCCACCATCGAGAGGTGAAACAGCTGTGTCTGCTTCTTCCCTAAAGGTGTGTTTTTCAGTGGCAGAGCACATACAGTGCCCACTACCTTCCCCTCCTCACTCAGCCACCAGAAGCAGGAGCCACACCCACTAAAGCAGATTTTGGTGATGTCAGCCATGTCTATGTACAAGAAGGTGGCCATTTCTCTGTTCCAGGGGTATTTAGCAAGGAGTTTCAGGAAAACAAGAAGGGTGACACTGGACACAATGGCCAGGAGCAAGGAACCAGAGACCAGGAGTAGGGAGAGAGGCACCCAAGTACAAACACAAGGCTGCAGGGCAGCGTCAGCATGTGTGGAAGGTGTCAAGAATGTGCTCCAATATACCACTGGAGAGCAAATCTAGGACTCATTAGTGGTCACTCTCCTGGTATTTGTGGATGTGTAAAGAGCCACAGGAACACTTCTGTCTGAAATCTGTATGTCCACTAGAGTCAACTAGATCAGCTCACACACCTTCGCTGTAGTCCTGAAGAAAGGAGAAGTCATGTGAGTTTCCCTCTGCTCCAGGCCTCTTCTGAACCTTGGAGACCCTCCTATAGGGTTTGCCTTTCTGCGATCTCCCAACAGAAAGCAGGCTACTATCACGAGAAACAGTTTAATGTCAAAGCACCTCATCTGATAGGAACCCTCATCTCTCCCCTTTCTATCTGTTTGGTTTAATCATGACTATTAACTTCTCTAAGCCTGTGTCTTCATCAGGGACAAATTATATGAAGCACTAGTATATAAAGTCTCTTCTCCCTTCATGATCACTACTCCATTACAAGCTTTCTTTCTAAGCTTCTTGCTCCATTGAGATGGCACCTGTATCAGCAAGACTGGAGTCCCCACCTCTTGTTCCTTCTCTAGCTCCATCTATAAGAAATCTTATGTGATGTGCTTATGCAGAAGATCCCATCCTCTGTGAAGGTTTCTCAGTGAAAAAGAAAAAGGTAAACACCAAAAGCACCTGACCTTGAGATCCTCAGGAAAGTCTGTGACTACAGGCCCTGGACTTTGAGATCCTCAAACTTGTACCTGTGTCCTCTTATCACAGAGAAAGTACTTGAGGAGTCCTCAGTCCTCGGCCTTTGACCAGCATCCAGGAGAGACATTCCACAGCCTGCCCCATCTCTGGGGGAACAACCTGATAGGCCATATCCTGGCCAATTTATTAATTTGTTAATCATAAACTCCAGGATTATGGAGCTGGGCTATAGTGGATAAGGGATCACAAGTCCACTCATCTTGTAAACATTTAATAATTAATTTGTAGGTGGCAGCAGGGGATGAAACACCCTTGTGATCCTCATCCTTGTGGGAGACCTGCCACCTTCCTCTTGTTCCCTTCAGGCCATGATATTGCCCATCCAGCACACTCAGCCCTCTCTGAGGTCCAACCTGGTTCTCTGTTACACATATACTAGGAACCTGTGGACTGTGTCACTAACCATGAGCTCTCTCATCATGAGCATCAGTCCAGATCCCCTGACTCAGCAGCAAGGGCCCTAATACCTGCATTTTTTTCCTGCCAAAGTTTTACCTAGTCCCCAAAAAGATGGATCCTGGACAGTTCCACACACTGTGGGCCTTGGTGGTGGTTCAGAGCTGGTGCATCACACTTCTTACACATTTTACTTAAGTATGTGCCTCACTAAAACAGGCAAAGCTAAACTGAAGAACAAATCCCTCTCCATGAATGTTTTCTTTATGGAAGGGATGCTTCTCTTTCAAAACCAAACTCACCTCTGTCCACATACACTATGCCTGCAGACCAGAGGTGTTGTCACACCTCTCATCACTCCTTGAAGCAGGAAAACAGCAGAAGCTAGTGTTTTTGTGTAGGATTTTGCTTGTATTTATAGTGGGTAGAGGATGAGTGGGCACTCAAGACTCAAGGAGTCTTCCATGGAAAGAACTCCTCAGGAATTCTTTGGGTGTATGGACACAGGAATCCCTCTGAACTGTGACAAGAGCTGAGGAGGCAGGTTCTCAGGATGCAGGGAGTGAGGGCAGCTTGTCAGGCTGAGCTAACATGAGCGCATAATCCTGAGGATGGAAGAAAGCATGGTTTGGGGAGAAAGCATGTCTTGGAGCTTCGGGAGTTCAGGTGCAGGAACGTGAGAGCCACTGGCCCAGGTTACAGCATGGGATTCCTGACCACTGTTACTTAAGGCCTAGTGTGAGGAGTGCACAGGATGAGCAAGTGGACAAGCAAGCAAGGGCCCCACACTTTTTACAAGGTCTGGGGTGCCAAGTGCATGGTTTTCATGCTGTAGCCTGGAAGTTTGTGCAGATAAAGGAACAGGTACCAGAATCTATCATCCCGAACTTGACCAGCTTCAAGCTCAAGTCCTATGTGAATTACTGCATTCTGGCTAGCACAGACACGCAGCTGACAGCCAGAGTGCTCTTCATGGAAACAGTTGCACCTGCCATGGAAAGGGATTTAAAGGAAGGCACTTTTGATCCTGACAACCTGGAAAAGTCTGGCTTCAAGCCCACCCAGGAAGGTAAGCTCTTCCAGCTGTATCCCAAGAATTTTCCTTGCTAGAATGCAGTAATGACCATAGGTTTGCCTGTGAACTACAGACTGAACTGACACAGGCTCAGATCGAGTCCCAGAGAGGTGAGAACATTCCCTTCTGGCATTTCTATTAAAGGCCTTTGCTGCTGTAAAAACAAAACAAAACAAAACAAAACAAAAACGGTCAACATGGCCAATAACGGAGGAAATCAGGGAAGGAATGAGTGACCTTTGTGAGGTCAGTGTCCATGCTGAATAGCATGGACTCTATTCCAAGAATAAAGGATGATATACGTATGTATACACCTGGGAACAGCATGAGCAGTGCCTAGTGAATCTGTGTGTGTGTGTGTGTGTGTGTGTGTGTGTGTGTCTTTGGTCTGCACGTGGAGAATAAAACCAAGAAGCAGAAAGTCTGCCTGACTGCTAAGAGGTCACAGCTGCATTTCCAGGGCCCAGAACCGAAAGCCATATCCACCTCTGTCCCTCATTTCAGCCCTAATTACACATCTCGTTGATCAGCACTGATATCCCTGTCATAGGTCCTTTCTGTGTCTTACCACATCATTGTCTAGTTCAGAGCTTATACTATGACAATAGTGTCCATAGTGAGAGGTTGGAGAGGTGCTAACCTGGGAGAACCATCTCTTTCTATGAATTGGTAAAATAACATACAGAGGGTGAATCCCTAAAGAATTATTAAATATAATGGAGAATAGCAAAGTAATACAACAAGATTTGTGTGCTGTAGGACACTGTGCAACTACAAATGATTGGAGGCAACAGAAAGGTTTTATAGAGAAATTAGGAAAATTACATGAGAT